GACATTTTTTCTTGCTAACAAGATTGAATTTCTCGTGGTTATATTAAAATAATCTAAATACATTTATATTTAAGCTAGAAAAGTAGACAAAAAAACTCGTTTTAGAAGTCGTGGACCTCTTATGCTTCAGCAGTTTCTGCCGCTGTTTACATTTGTTTTGCATTAATGTGATACGTTTACTTCCACAATTAACATAATTTTCACCCTTCTCTGCCTACTTTTTTATTTTTTTTAAACAATTGATTTTTCTGTCTTGAAAAACCGGCAAAAAGTCAAAGTGGACACGATCATTAGGTACGCAAACGTGGTGAAAGGATAATAAGCTACTCCTTCCATTTTGAAATATAAGGCGTATAAAGATTTCTCGTTTTTTTTGAAATATAAGGCGCGTTCAAAAATCAAGACAAATTTTTGCATTTTTTTCCAAATATACCCTCATTGTGTTGAAATTAAGGAAGTGTGGAGTGGTTGTGATTAGAGTAAATAAGGTTAATTTAGTCAATTTATTCATTAATTAATGTCTCCTTAATATTTGTGCAATAACCTTAAATGCCTTATATTTCAAAATGGAAGGAGTAGTGTTTATTATTTACATCATCATAATATCGAGTAAATTCGACTTTATCGATAACTATATTAATTATATTACAAGTTATTTATCGTCAGATTAACACATCTATATAAATATATATGGTGTATGTGTGTTGATAGATCAATTAGTAAAAAACACAACTGACAGCTACAATCACCGGTGGGAACGAAAGCTTCTTTCATATCGATCCAATGAGGACTATTAGAATATTCACGTAGGAGTTGTCTCACATCGTTTATTTAGGGAAAATATGTCTAACTTATAAGTCTAATGGACTACTCCTCCTCCTTCCACTAATTAATTTTGGGATAGAACTCCACTTAGACTTAATCTGGGCTATTACCTGTTAAGGTACGTTTCACGTGGGTGGGACCGCACCCGTTTTCCCCTTTCTTAGAAGGACTAATGCGATAATTAATAGGAGTTTTTTTTGTAATTATTATTTTAATTTGTATAATATTTTGTAAGTTTCTTGTTGCTCTGTTTGACGTGGAAATTTCACATCATAATTAATAGGAGGGAATACAATGGACTTGGAGTCCAAATATAGCATCGATATTCTTATGTAATGTCGCCAAATTTGACGAACCCCAACTATTTATTTCCGTCTACCACAATTATATATAGTTCGTTCATATTTATTTGATTTTGCAAACTTTTGTTATTAGTTGGAAAAAGATATTAAAATTTATACTGTTTTTCTAAAGTTGACGAGTCACATGGCTGTGGTTTCTTCAAAGAACAATTTGAGTCGCTCTAACCTCATATGACTGAGTTGTGAATTACTGACATAAAAGTCAAATGTGTAAGTGTGATTAACCTTAAGTTATTAATTACCCATTTCATAGTTTAATAAAACTCACACTCATAAGTCATCTTGATCAATTAATATGTGTTAATCAGCCATGCGTTAATCCATGAACGATTAAATATTAAACTATTCCATTATTAAAACCCAATAAGAAATGGAGGAAATACATAAACAAAATAAAAATCCTAATGATTTCTTATACACTATAAACAAGAATATATATTATTATCTATCCATTTTAATACATATAAATTGATGTTCCCACTTGAACTACCTTGTGCAAATTAAATTCAATTATTGCTGTTAGAATATTTTAGACCAATCTAACTTGAGCAGCAATGATGATATTTATGGTGAGGAAAATTCATAAAAAATACCACACTGTTTCTTTTCTTTTCTTTTCTTTTTTATGGCAAAATGGACAATAAAATGGTAATTTAGACGGTAATAAAAAAATCAATCAAATTAAATTAAGGATAATATTCTCTAATTTAGACTAATTTGACCCAAATTAATTTTCATTTGAGGATTTTATTGGATGAAACACTAGGAAAGAAGTATAAAAACAAAATAATATGAAAGAAATTTAGGAAAAAAAAGGGGGGCACATTTCTGCTTCGTTCGCCGATTACCCGCCAGCCAATCCACAACTTCATTAATTCACTACTTCAACTTCATTATGTTGAATTTGAATACATGTACAGTTCTTTGGATTTCAATTTTGATAGTCTAAAATTATTATTTGTTTACATTTGGGTTTATTTTTTCAAATATTTACAAATTCATATAACTTCAAATTAATCCATCGTATAATTATAACATTAGCCCGCGATGGTGCGTTCCTTGTTGAGCCATTTTAAATTTAAATTTTCTAGTCAATTTAACATTTCATTTACTTCCATTGTTGAGCCATTTTAAATTGTAATTTTCTAGTCAATTTAACATTTCATTTACTTCCAACTTGACTTTTTTTTTTTATCCACCAACTTGACTTAATATCACCAATAGCCGTTGCTGGTCGACGAGCTCACGTATTCTTATCTTGGTCTCTTGATCATAATTAACTAGTCTTAACAGGATATATAGATTGATTCATGATAATTAAAAAAAAATAAATCAAATTAAAAGATATTGACGCTGTATTTATATATATGGAACATTTTTTTAAAAATTATAGTCAAATAGTTAGAAAGAGAAATTATACAATGAATGAATATTGTTTTGATTATATTTACATATTTAAAAATTAATTACTAAAAGTTTTAAGAATCTAAAGCAGTGAACATGAAAAATAAATAAATAAATAAATCTATATATATATATATATATATAGGATGTGGTTCAAATGAGAATCAAGTTTTAGCGTGAGAATCGTGAGAACTGCTATTTTTAATTGTATGAAATGTTATGATTGAGTGTGTTTTGGTGCTATTTTTAACCAAGATATATTTTGTTAAAAATAGCAACACAATTTATACTAACATTTGTAAAAATGATAGCATCATGTAATATTAAAAATAGCATCATACACAATTAAAAATAGTATCAAATATGGTTCTCACGGTTCTCACACCGAGGCTAGTTTTTATTTGAACCAGCCCCTGTATATATATATATAAAGAGATTAACATTTACTAAACATAATTAGCAACAATTTTAGGACATGATTTAATTCATGCTAATTTTGAAATTTTCTTAAAATTTTAAAATCAATAGCATGTATGTTCTAAAAGACCGGACAATTGAAATTGATTAATTGCACACTTATAATAAAAAAATTCTTGCATGATTTTATCCCATAAAATCGGACAGGATGATTAATTGCATAGAACTGTATCCATAGAAACCTGAAAAATCGGACCAATAATATTAGGCAGCTCTTTATTCCATACAAACATAATCAACCAACATTGCATCCTAAAACTTTGGGATTCTCCCAATTTTGAATACCATTCTTTCAAACATTCAATTAAAATTTGAATCGGATTGCATACAATATGCAATTCAGAAAATTCGAATGTCTTATACTTGAAAAACTCCCAAATTTTTAATTCTGTTTCATATTTGATATTAAAAAAATTGATTGATTCTTTGAATTTGTAAATAGATAGATTCAATTGGAAGTAACATCATAAATCCTATCATCTAAATCTTCAGTCAAAAGCTTTAGCGTGAGATAATATCTTATAATACTTTAGATACTTTAAACAAATTGTTTAGATAATTTTTTTTTTTTTTACATTTTCGATTTATATATACATACACACACACACACACACACACATATATATATATATATATCTATATATATACATATACACATATACATAATAGATGTTAAGTTTAAATATTTTTAGACATGCATGTTTTCTTTACAAAATAGTTTAGAAAAAATTTTAAATGTTTTTAGATATGTTTTTTTCCAAAATAGTTTAGAAAAGTTGTAGGTGACTTCACACCTTTCAAAGATAATATAGAAAATTTTGAATACTCTTACATATATTAATATAACTATTTAGGTGTTTTTAATATTTTAAACATATAATTTCATATTCTCTTATAAAAGATAATTTTACATTGTTTGAACTCACATCTTTAATTTATAATTATTATTTAATATTACTTATACTCCTCTTTAATTTATAGTTATTCTTTTTTCTTTCTCTCTTTAAAGAGGATCAATAGTAATTTTCACTTCCTCCATTTAGCGACTCAAACTCGAGTTCTATTTATAATTACTATTTAATATTATTTTCCGCGCATCGCACGGGCTACACACTAGTAGGTATTGAACTTACTAAGAAAGTGGGATGAAATTCTTGTAATTGCAAATAATAATAATAATAATAATAATAATAATAATAATATAGGTTGATTACTTGATTATGTGAAACTGGTCCATTCTTTTTTGAAAAAATAAGTACCATTTGTGCAATGTAGAAGGACCATATGGTCCACATCAATATATACTTATTTATTGAAACGATCATTGATTCATTTTTGAAGACCATCTATAGTCCACTCTTGCATGCATAATAAAAATGTAAAAAGAATAAGTCAAATATCGTAAAATGCATAAAAAGTCAAATATCGTAAAATGCAACCTCGTTCATTTATATTGGGCGATTTTTCAATCGATCAACTTGAATTACCTTCCGTATGAATGAATGAATGAATAAATAAATAAATAAATAAATAATACTTCAACATTGTTATGATATGTCATTACCTTCTGTATGAATGAATGAATAAATAAATAAATAAATAAATAATACGTATATATAGATTAGATTAGCATGCATAAAATGAATGAATATGATTTAAGTAGTATTTAATTACGTGTTTAAAAAAGAATAAATTATTAAATTATATAATTTAATATATATATATATATATATATATATAAATACCATTTGTGCAATGTATAAGGAATGTGTTATCTGTCCCTTCACTCTCCGCCCATTGGATAGATATTTTAAATCCATAGGATATAAAGCATAAATAAGAGACACCATAGGTCAGCATTTAATAAACTTTATATATTATTATTTTTATTATTTATATATTTAAAAGTCTTGAAGCAATTAAAGACCGAAACTCCTATCCTTCAATTCCATGCATCTATAAATTGCCCTTGCCATCTTCACACCTCCTCATTACCTCGCCATTCATTACTTACGAAATTTATTTACCTTAATATATAATAATTCCATATATCCTCTCCTCAACACCTGTCCCTCAATTCCCAGGTTTCCTGCTTGTTCATTTTTCTGACTTAGTTATTTGCACTAGGTGTCATATATGTGTGATTTTCATGCATGTAAACTAAACAATATATATATATATATATATATATTGTGACATGATAAAAGTTTGATGTATGCAATTATATATGTGCAGGGCAGGGTGAAAAATGGAGTCATTGAAGAGGGCCGTAGTATGTTTGATATTGCTCCTCATATGGGGGGACGGGTCGAAAGCCCAAAGCCACAGGATCGACAGTCGTTACAAGAACCCGAAGCTGCCGATGGCCCTGCGGGTTAGGAGCCTGTTGGCCCAAATGACGCTCAAGGAGAAAATCGGGCAGATGTCCCAACTGAACCACGTCAACATAACGGCGGACATCCTGAGAGAATATTCCCCCGGGAGCCTCATCAGCGGGGCCGGTGAGACCCCACGCCCAGACAATCGAGCCACCCCACAGGATTGGATCAACTTTGTCAACGACTACCAGAAAGGCTCCATGTCTAGCAGGCTCGGGATACCCATGCTCTATTCCATTGACTCAGTCCACGGCCACAACAGCTTGTATCGGGCTACCATTTTTCCTCACAATGTTGGACTTGGCGCCACAAGGTTGACTTTTTTATTTATTTATTTATTTTTTTGAAAAACAATCAATATATGTATATATATCCTTGGATAATTAAATGTTGGTAATTAATTAATTTAATTTGTATATGGTGCAGAGATCGAGACCTTGTGAAGAGGATTGGAGCGGCTACGGCTCTTGAAACGAGAGCGACCGGCATTCCCTTTGCCTTTGCGCCATGCATAGCCGTAAGCAAATTTAAAACACACAAAATCAATCAATCAATAAATAATCATATATGTCCGAGCATGCATGGTTCGAGTTTGTTTAATTTGTTTTACTAGCCAGCTAGCTAGTTTCGTACGTATTGCCAACGTTTTAAGTAATATTGATGGTCGAGCGATTGGTGGGTGCAGGTTTGCAGGGACCCGAGGTGGGGCCGGTGTTACGAGAGCTTCAGTGAGGACCCACTCGTTGTTGAAGAGATGACTGATATCATCCTTGGTTTACAAGGAGACAACGGCGCTAAAGGTGTCCCTTACGTTGGTGGAAAGTAAGTAGTTTGTTTTTATTATTTTCTAAATAAAAACTCGTATTTGAAAATTGAAATAATATATATATAGTGGCGGTCATGCAAAATTGGACTTCCGAAAATGGATATATATTAATTGAAGATTTAGCAATGTTTTAAAATGTGAAACTGCTTGCTAACTAGGTCCAGTCAATGTTACGACCAAAAATTCATGAACATTGTTTATTATTATTAGGGGTGTTCACGGTCCGGTTTTAACCGTAAAAAACCATCAATCTGGACCGCGGATCGGTTAAATGGTCGGTTAAAAAAGCCTTAAAAAATTCGGTGGTTAATTTTTCTAAAAATCTGGAATAACCGGTCCGGTTAACGGATTACCTTCGGCAAACCGCCGGTTTAACCGGACCGGACCGGTAAATATTAAAAAACTATAACAAATATATATATACATTAATTCATTCACTATGGCCGACAAATACATTAAATATGAATGTTTTGCTCTTATTATTTCAGGTGTATAAACTGATTGAAAAATGAATGCTTCCTTGGGTTCAGTTTGCATAATTTAATCTTCATCATTTTTGTATTTTTATGTTTTTAGGATGAAATGTGTATTTTTATGCTTATATGACGAATTGTGTATTTTTTATTTCATTATTGTTATTTTTCTTAATTTTTAGGCCCAAATAATCTTTTTTGGACCCAAAATTGAAAAATAAAAACTAAGCCCAAAATGAAAAAAATAAAAATTAAAGGCCCAAAACAAGGATTTTGGATGTCCGGATTGTGGTCGGTTAAAAAATAAAATCGGTTCGGTTATGGAAAAAAAAAAATTAACCGTTAGGTCCGATTTGGTCATGGTTTGGGCTAAAACCGGACTGATCCGGACTGTGAACACCCCTAATTGTTATTATATGTTGCGACTCTTGAGTAAGTTTGATTATTATTAATTTTGGTATTTGACTAATATTGTTAATTATCATTACTATTATTATATTATGTACAGAGACAAAGTGGTGGCCTGTGCAAAACACTATGTTGGTGACGGTGGCACAACAGATGGAAGAGACGAAAACAACACGATCGCAAACTGGCACGGGCTTCTGAGCATGCACATGCCCGGATACTACCACGCCATCATCAAGGGCGTCTCCACAATAATGGTCTCCTATTCCAGTTGGAACGGCCAGAAAATGCATGCAAACAGGACTCTCGTCACCGATTTCCTCAAGGGCGTCCTTAATTTCAGAGTGCGTGTTTCTATTTTAGTAATTCGCAAATATGATCAATCTAGTTACTAATTAAATTAATAGGAGTATAATTGATGTGCTTAATTATAACTAATTAATTTTCGTGCTGCAGGGATTTGTCATTTCCGATTGGCAGGGTGTGGATCGGATGACTGATCCGTGGGGAACTAACTACTCGGCCTCACTAGCTACAGCCATTAATGCCGGTGTTGACATGGCAAGTTATTGAATTAATATATATACATACTCGGCGCTGCAAAACATGATTAATTAATGTAATAATTTTGAATTTTGTGATGTACATATTTAGGTGATGGTGCCTCCAAATGCAACCGAGTTTCTTCGTTTAATGACTTCCCATGTGGAGAACAATCTAATTCCTATGAGCCGAATTGACGATGCTGTGAGTAGGATTCTGAGGGTGAAGTTCATTGCCGGTCTCTTTGACCAACCATTGGCCGATAATAGTTTGGTCGGTCAAATTAGAAAACAGGAACATATGGATCTTGCAAGAGAGGCTGTCAGAAAATCACTTGTTCTCTTAAAGAACGGGAAAGAAGCCGGCAAACCCATGATACCTCTTCCCAAAAAAACATCAAAGATATTAGTCGCCGGAACACACGCTAACAACCTCGGATTACAATGTGGCGGTTGGACAGTTTTCTGGCAAGGAATTCGTAACAGCAGCCTCATAGCTGGTATATATATACAAGATTTTCTTTGTTTTAACTCTTTACAATACTTACACATAATTAATTACTAATATATATATATATATGAATTTGGCATGGTGATCAGGGACCACAATACTTAATGGAATCACGCTCACGCTAGATCCGAGCACGCAAGTTGTGTACAGTGAGAACCCAGATTCGGACACATTAGCAGAGGCCGATGAATATTCGTATGCCATTGTAGTGGTAGGAGAGCTGCCTTATGCCGAGCAGTTTGGAGACAATTTTAACCTAACCATTCCAGAGCCTGGCTTAAGCACTATCAACAATGTGTGTGACAAGATCAAATGTGTTGTGGTGTTAATTTCTGGCAGACCGTTAGTTATTGAGCCTTATCTTCCGAAAATCGATGCACTTGTGGCTGCATGGCTGCCCGGAGCCGAAGGCCAAGGTGTAGCCGACGTGCTATATGGTGACTATGGTTTTACAGGCAAATTGCCAAGAACTTGGTTCAAGAGAGTAGACCAACTTCCCATGAATTTCGGGGATGCGCATTATGATCCTCTGTTTCCCTATGGTTTTGGGCTGACCACAAAACCAACCGGTGAACTCTAGGAGTCGAATTCAATTCCATTTATGTTCAGTGTATTGATTGTAAAGTGATGGATGTCAAGTCATCTATCTCTGAGTTTTTTTTCTTAACTCTTCCTTTGAGGTCGATAGCCCAAAAGCATCGGCGTTCAGTGAGATAATAAATTTCCAGAATAATCTTGCAGTCTGTCTTAAATATTTCCAGGGAAAAACTAATAAATAAAATGATTTGATTTAGAAAGGATAAACCTTACAAATCATAAAATGGTCTAGACAATATAGTTACAACAAAATTCATGAGAAAGGATAACAACACATAGATTAAAACATGCCATTGACACCAACCATATCTCTTGTAACTTTGAGACATTAAGATAAACCAATCTTGGTTCTTATATTAAATATTAATACTAGTGAAAGAAAACATGCATGTTGCAAATGGATAAGATGGAGGATAAAAATATTATCCGATCACAAACTAACTTGAATGTCCATACATAACCACGGTTCAAAATATTCGCCATTACTAAAATTAGCAATATCCATAATGACCGTTGAATGTTTAGTTAAACAGGAGGAGCCATAAGGTGTCTCTTTCGTCCAACTATATATTGCTCCTCCAACTCTATCCCCCAACATCGTACATATTTTGTAATTACTTTCTTTGTCTCCCTTTTGTTCACCACCACAACGAACGAGGTTCATCGATCTATCTGCTCATCATAATCTTTTTAATATATACTTTCCTCCTCCATGCATGTTATATATGTTTCTCTTTAAATTAATTAACTTTTGTTGCTAACATGCATTAATTTTGATGATACTCTGATCAGTAGCCACACCCGGAGTCAAGTCCCCATGGGCATCCAGATCATTCTAAGCTTCCTGGTGCTGCTTGCATCATGGACTGGAGCCATGGCCTTGACCCATGACGAACCAAATATAATAAACACACTGTACAAAGACCCGAAACAACCCATGGCCTTGCGCATAAAGACCCTCCTCGACCAAATGACCCTGAAAGAGAAAATCGGACAGATGGCCCAGATTCCTCAGCCCAATATCACGGCAGAGATTCTCAAAGAATATTCCATCGGCAGCGTACTTAGTGCAGGTGGCAACACGCCTCGCCAAGACCCCCGGGCCACCCCTGAGGAGTGGGTCGACATGATCAATGCCTTCCAGAATGGATCCTTGTCCAGCAGGCTCGGGATTCCATTGCTTTACGCCATTGACTCTGTGCATGGCCACAACAGTTTGTATCGAGCTACCATTTTTCCTCACAATGTGGGCCTTGGTGTAACCAGGTGAGTGCACACCATTTTCAGAATGAAGCCATTAGTTGGCAAAATTGAAAAATTGTGCATTTTTTGTTGATCATCATCAAACTAAAATGAATAGGCTAGGCTAGGCTAGGCACATTATATAATGTCAACATTATGGTTGGTGCAGAGATCCAGAGCTTGTGAGAAAGATCGGAGCTGCTACAGCTGTTGAAACTAGAGCCACAGGCATTCCCTATGCCTTTTCTCCATGTATCGCGGTATATAAAACAAATCTAACCCCGTGTTGCATGCATCAAACACAGCACATTACTAAGCTTGAAGTTAATATAAAAAATTGAAATTTTATACATCTCAGATTTTCTGAAAAAGTAATTGAGGTTGTGCATATATATGCTTGTGTTTCGTGTGTAGGTATGCAGAGACCCGCGTTGGGGTCGATGCTACGAGAGCTATTCTGAGGATCCACAAATTGTTACAGACATGACAGACATCATCCTCGGCCTACAAGGCGATAATGGAAGAAAGGGAGTACCTTACGTTGGTGGAAAGTAAGTTGTGAAGAAACATTTTTACGATTTAATAACAATCGTTTAATTGAGTTGTTTTCTTAGTATTCTTTTTATCATTTGTTTTGTCGACTTACGTAAAAAAATAATAAAGGGACAAAGTTGTGGCTTGCGCAAAGCACTTTGTGGGTGATGGTGGCACGGTCAATGGAATAAACGAGAACAACACAATCATTGATTGGCATCGACTAATGAGCATTCATATGCCCGGATACTACCAAGCAGTGATCAAGGGGGTCTCTACCATTATGGTTTCTTTTTCGAGTTTGAATGGGCAGAAGATGCATGGAAACAAGCATCTCGTTACCGATTTCCTCAAAGGCACCCTCAGATTTAGAGTATGTAGCGTGTTAGTTGGATGCTTTGAACACATAACATACGTTAAATTTCTCTTCACGTTAAACATGGCTTGCTACCTAGCTAACTCAACTCTTAACTTCCCATATTCCCAGGGATTTGTCATTTCAGATTGGCAGGGTATCGACAAAATGACCGACCCATCGGGATCCAACTACTCCACCTCTTTAGCAACGGCCATCAATGCCGGAGTTGACATGGTGAGTAAATTAACGGTTAATTCTTATCTTCTAAATCAGCATCAATTATGTTTAATTAAGTTGGTATGTTGTGATGGCATGACATTATTTGTTGATATGTATGTATACACAGGTGATGGTCCCACCAAATCACACGGAATTTCTCCGTATCATGTCTTCCCATGTTGAAAACAACATTATCCCAATCACTCGTATTAACGATGCCGTGAGTAGGATTTTGAGGGTGAAGTTCACTCTAGGCCTTTTCGAAAACCCTTTGGCAGATTATAGCTTAATTGGTCAGATTAACAACCAGGCTCATAAAGATCTGGCAAGAGAGGCCGTGAGGAAATCACTCGTCCTGCTAAAGAACGGAAAGGATGCAAAAAAACCTTTGCTTCCACTCCCGAAAAAGACATCAAAAATCCTTGTTGCGGGAACCCATGCAAACAACCTCGGACTACAGTGTGGCGGCTGGACAGTCAACTGGCAAGGAGTTGAAAACAACACCCTCATATCAGGAACAACTATACTAAACGCAATCACCGCCACAGTTGATCCCAGCACAGAAATCGTGTACAGTGAGAACCCTGACTCAGAATTATTATCAAATGCTGCTAAAGAATTTTCATACGCTGTTGTGGTGGTGGGAGAGCACACTTATGCAGAGACATTTGGAGACAACCTAAATCTCAGTATTCCAGAACCGGGTTTAAGCACGATGAAAAATGTCTGCAACAAAATCAAGTGTGTTGTGGTTTTAGTTTCAGGACGGCCACTAGTTGTAGAGCCGTATCTTTCAAAGATAGATGGCCTTGTAGCTGCATGGCTGCCTGGAACTGAAGGTCAAGGAATTGCTGATGTGCTGTTTGGAGACTACGGTTTTACAGGAAAGCTGGCAACAACATGGTTCAAGAGAGTCGATCAGCTTCCCATGAATTTCGGTGACAAGCACTATGATCCTCTTTTCCCCTTTGGCTTTGGACTAACCACACATCCTGTTGTTGCTGATATGTAGACCGACCAACCGACCGGCTGTATATTATTGTTTATATCGATTTCTTTGTACACTAAATTTAAGTTACTCTGAGTTTGACTTTTGTAAAGGAGAATGATGCTTGTATATACAAACCCAAAAGGGAGATGATATAATCCTGCTTTATTGATTCTGTGAAATATGATAAAATTACCTGGACAAGTTGTTTATATGTTGGTCTTTATTGTTTTCCTGCAGTTTTATATTTTCAAGCTTACATAAAGCTTCAGAGCTTTCGTTAGGTGAATCATGTCCATAAACAACAAACGTATTTATGTAGAGAGACACGAACTTGAACTGATCATGAGTTTAAAAGTCTGTAAAACTGTTATACAATTGTGAAATGCAAAAACGTTAATTGAATGTCGAAGGAAATTCACTTTTAGACAGTGTTGTACTCTCAGTCCCAGCCAGTCCCCTTTAAACTATTAAAAACATGTGTGACAAATAAATTCAAAAGTAAATATCCATCTAAATGAAAATTTTCCAACTTCTGAGTGTTGGCAAATAAGTTGCTACAAATAAAATACAACTTCGTCCAGGAGGTAAAAATACTGAGATGTTTTTTCTTTCTTTCTTTCTTGGCTTGAGTTGATTCCAACAGGATCTTGAATTTGGTAAGACGGTCTCTCTCTTCTACTCTGGTAGTGTCACAAATGAAATTCCATAAAATAGGTCACAGCAACTATAATGCAACACCTCAGCCTCTTAACTGTAAACAAAATTGTGCCAGCTAAAGACATTGATAAGTTGTAAGCTTCAAGCACCACATAAACTATGCATGATTTACAACCTCATGAACTGAGAATGGACGTTAAGTACAATATGACATAATAAATATTCCTACCCTGAATACTTATGGCATGCCGGGCACTCCCGTTGAACTATCCTTTGATCTGTGCTTTCGTTTCTTACTCCTGAGTCACCAAAATAAAAAACGCAAAAATGCTTTATAGAGTTTAGAAACTTAAGTGTTGTATAGAGCATAAAGTTCACAGCAAGTACTTGTCGTGGGAGCTTGGGTCCAAGCATGTCTTGAGCTTCCTATCAATGTGCTTAACGTCTTTCGAGGTAGGAGTCTCGAGCTTATTAATCTATTAACATTTTTAAGAAAAATGTCAAGAAAAGAAATTTACTAGCACGCAATTAAAGTTACCAACGAAGGGGGCGCCTGTAATTTTGTAAGATATCTAAATTCTTCTATTGAAATAATTTGAAATTATTTCTAAAAAACTGTACCAGCGTATCAATGGCATTCAGGGAAAGAGTGAGATCTGAAAAGTTATGAGCAGAATGCTGCCGAGATAGCATGCTCTTAATGTACCTGCAAACATACAGTTCACCTCAGAATTTATGTCGAAGAGCAAATAAGTAGAGACTGCAGGTACATTTATTAATTTAATCAAAAGGGACGCGGTGGCTTATGAACCTCTCAAAGTCAACAGCTTTATGAAACTCAGAAGACCTACGTAAAGCTGCCAATGCCAGCTGCAAAAGCAAAGGAAAATTAGAATTCGCAATTGAACTACAAGTATGAATTATCATAAGGCCACAAAGTTCTAGCCTTCTAGGTAAAAAAATGGTGGAAATTCAAAATTGAAATTTAATCTATCAAAAAACTGTTTGAGAAGATGAAATCATATTAAGGAAACAATACCTGCCCTGGTGGGAACAAAAGGGGAGCATCACTCCTCATAGTTTTATCAACTTCGGCTTTAGCAGATTCATGCAAACTCTACAGCCAAAGCACACACATATTAAACTAGGAAAACTCTAAAAGCAAAATTAATAGAAAATCAAGCTTCTCATGCTATATGTAGTGAGCTTTTGCCATTTAATTGATAGGGGAACCAGAAGAATGCATATCAACACTTTCAAAAGTTTTTACAAGAAAGTGTCCGACGAGCACATCTTAGAGACAAAAATGTACCTTTATTATATCTGAATGCACCACATTTGCATCGTAGAATTCCTACAGCAAGAAAGGAAAATCCTCATAGCATCTCATTGCCACATGCAGTAAAGATGTACCAGTCAGTGAAAGGAAGTATGGAAATATATGAAAAGAACCTCCATATCACTAATAAAGCCATCAAGTGCCCGATATGGTGCGTAAACAATAAGGTCAAATCCTAGACTCTGCAATGAATTAAGACAATAACAAATAGTCATTAATTAAATTGGAACAGCATGCAGAGAGTAACAAAGGCAAATAACATCCATGCCTGCAGAACCAGCATTTCATTATTAAGGATCATTTGATGATCCTGTTCGATCCCTTTCCCAAGCTCCTCCGCTGACACATGATTCTCCTCTGCCTTACAAGCAGCATATATGCAGGTCAACCTGTAGGTGAATGAGTCGGTAAAAAAAATTGATCAATAATCAACGATTCCTAGATCAAACATCTGGTATTAACATGTGTACAAAATATATAATGGCAGTTATTAAATTGTACAGATGCACATCAAAGATCAGATTCCATAATGTTTATGTTTTTCTAATAATTCTTATTTTAGACTGCAACAATAATATAAATACGATGCAAGAAAAGAGTGGTACTCAAGAAGCGTTCATACATGATATTCTTTGGATGATGTTCCATCACGGACCATTGCAAATAGAACCTTTTAAAATAAATAAGAGCGGTAGCCTGCAGAACCAAAAAGTGCATGAATTTTCACAGAAAGCATTGGACTCTCAGCTCCACAATGTCTCGAAAAACATGTTTACCTGAATTTTACGTGGGAATTTGAAGGCATCACAAACATCTTGGATTTTGAACTCATAAAAAGCCCGAAGAAGTTGTTCTTCTTCTATCTTGAGAGCTTTTGGGCGTGAATGCTTCTCGGCTAAACAACCACCAGCAATAGCATACATGTAAATAATGACATGAACATTTTCTCTTAATCAACCAGCAAGATTTATGATAATGGACACGGAAATTATAGGTGCTTTGTATCACATGGGGGAGCTTACAACTATCTCTTGCATCACGTTCATGTTCAATATAAGTGAAGGATCCGTCAATGTCTACTTCCATCCTCGTTGCCCCATACTTTCAAAACATAATAACAGTCTTAGCATCAATGAAAATGTAATAGTTATGCAGAAAGTACAACAAAATTTGTATGTCTGAATATCAGATGAAATTGAGAACTCGCAAGCAAGAAAATGTCAGCATTTTCCAGAGTCTTGCATCCACTTCACTGAAAGAGTATTTGTGTTATACTCCTGCAAGTATTTCAAACTAGTAATGCTCCAGGAGATAAGGCCTTTCAAACAAATATAATCAGCCACTGTTGTTTTTTCACTTACTATTTGTTTTAACAAAACATTTGTAACGAGTACTCAGTCTAAGTAACCCATTCCTTTTTCCCCAAATGCAAAAGCACAAATGCAAAAGCAAATACCTTTTCAAGTGCTTGCTTAGCTCGTTTATTAGCATCCTTGTATTTTTCCTTCTGAAAAGTACAAAAGAAAAAAAGAAGGAAGAAACAAAATTAGAGAAAACCCAAAACTTGGGAAGGCTCATTTGACACACAGTACCCCACGCATAAATACGCACAGCCATGCTACTAAAAAAGACAGTGATGAATGTGTTAAAGGCTACTGCTGAGATTGATTAAGAGCAATAGGGTTCAAAGTTTACAAGATCCTGAGGAGAGAATATCCACTTTGCCTTGTGCGTCGAGGTCATAAAATCCGCCATTGATATCCCTTTTCTTAACACAGACAAATAGAAGTATGTTTCAGTAAATGAAAAAGGAGAGCTTAATTTAGTTATGATGCTGGTAATAAGCAGGTTCAAAGGATTACCTTCCGAATAAATAATCCTCCAGCGTTGTTAGAAGCAGTGATAATTCTCCGGCGATGTTACTTAGAAGCTTTTTAAGGGAACTGGCGGGGCGAGGGTTGAGTACGGGCCTTTTGCCGTCCTCCGGCGTCTGCTTCCATTTCTGCACCTAATTAATTAAAGTTTTGAAACTACTTACTATCTACAAGCCCGCAATTTATTTTTACAAATATGCAATTAATATAAAATATTTGATAGGTCTACTTGACCCTCTTGAATATTCGATAATGCCATTCGAGAAACTCTTATCACCTCATACTCAATTTGTCAAGATTACTACATCTCATCGCTTTGCATTTTCTTGGACACTGAATTGAACTATTTCCATGTTGAGACCCAAAAACACATTCGAAAGGCTGTGGGCAGCTCAACCCAAAAGCGATTGAACATCCTAAATTGATTCAAGCCCTAATGGCGGCCAATACCAATCATATAGCTCAAAGTCACAAACAAACCAATCCCTACAGAACTAAAAAGACTCCAACCTCAATCCACACAAGCCACTTAAGATTCAGAAGCAACATCCAAAAAATGAACCCCATGAATTACCCAAAATCAAAACCATCTTCAGTCTATATGACTAACATATATGAATTGATAAAGACAACCTTGTCAAACACACAAAAGTGTTAACTAATGATTATTGTATCTAAACTTCTCCTCTTCCTATACAAAATTACAAACACAAACACCAGTGTAACTGTTCCAGTGTGTGACGGTGTAGGATTAGCGTAGGAATAGGGATGGGGAGTTGTACCAAGGTTTGCCAGCAAAGAAGCTACGAACTATCAAGGGAATTCAAGAGAAAGAGCATAAAAAAACTTACGAAATCGAGGAGGCAAAGATTTCAGGAGCTCCAGTCGAAGCTCAGTCTCCAACTTTAGTTCTGCACTAATTCACTGCCGGGCGGTCGCGTCGTGTGAAGAAAGCCGTGTCGGGCTCGCGGTCGACCGACGGAGGTCGCGTGAAGGAGACGTGGCTGACCCCGGTGGTGACCTTTTAGATGTTAGANAGAAGAATAACAATGTTTAATTAGTAAATGAGCATTAGTTAAATATTACTTATATAAAAATTATAGGATTAGTGTATTATTACTTAAAATTATAGGGTATTATTACAATTTGACATTAATAAAAAGTCAAATGCAAAGATTTTTAATAGGACATATTATGGAGAGTTCTATCTCTTGTGTTACGTTTTGCTACCACAATTACTCTCTAGGAATCTCACGTGTGTATATTTATAATAGGACACAACTACACAAGGCAAATGTATGATTAGTGAATGCAAAATAAATGTGAATGGTCTTATATTCGATTGCTTCATAACAAAATTAAAAGAGTTTATTGGATAAATTATATAAATAAATCACGGCCACTTTAATCTGCCATTAATCTTTAATCGCATCACTCATACATGTGATTGTAGAATAATGCCCACATGAACAGAATCTGATACTTCTTTTCTGTTATATTCTTATTCCTTTCTCTCTTTTTTTTCCTCTCTATTTAATTTATCTTTATATCAATTTTGTAACAAAGTTCAAATGAAGTGCGATCTATCTGCCATAACTTGGCTTGCTTTTTGGGAGATGATACATTTACACGTTTATATGCCTAAGTTCTAAGTTCTAACTATATATACACAAGTTTGTACATAACTACAAATGTATGTATGCACATATTGTTTTTAACAGAAATGTCTGTAGACAAGAAATGGTTTGTTCTAGCTCTCTTTTTTGTGTTAACTCTTTCACACGAAACAGGTAAATGTGCTTCAAATGATAATTTATTTATTTATTTATATGGTGGTTTTTATTTTAAAGATATAATTTATTCCCTTCAATTGCAAATTTGCAATTTGGATGCAGATGGATTTGAGTGGTGCGTTGCTAATGAGCAGGCTCCAGATGGTGCGCTGCAAGTAGCTTTGGACTGGGCCTGTGGCAGAGGAAGTGCCAACTGCAGCAAGATTCAGTTGGGCCAGGCCTGCTTCATTCCAAACACTTTGAGGGCCCATGCTTCTTATGCCTTCAACAATTACTTCCAAAAATTCAAGCACATGGGTGCTACATGCTCCTTTAATGGTGCTGCTATTGCCACTGATCTTGATCCCAGTAAGCTTTTTCCTTTTCTATTTTTTTCTGAATCTTGGTATTATCATTATTATTATTATTATCTGAATTAAAATTTCATTTCATTATTAAATTTTTTATATGCACAATTACATTGTATTTAATTGCCTGGTATTAAATCAATTTTGCAGGCCATGAGTCTTGCCACTACGAGCTTACACTGAACTAAAGAAGGGTTGTCAATTTTGAGTGGCCGATTAGCATGAACATTTAAGTCCTTATTGTTACATTCAAGACTTTCATCCAGCAAGTGATTATCTTTTTCTTTTAGTTGTTGGAGAGATAACAATTAAATTATCCTCTTAATATTATAAACTTGATGTTTGGAATATTTGTTTACAGTATCTATATTTATACATATATTTTAAAATTTTCAATGGAACAATCAAATATACAAAAATATCATGTACTCGAAATGATTATTAATTTGATATATCTTCAATATGAAAATGGAATAACAATAAAAGAGTTATCAAGTTTAAGTGGTGAAATCTCCTATGTAACAATTGTATCCATATGTAATGAAAAAGTGACAATGCATTCACTAGGAAAAAAAGAAAGAAATGATGAGATTGAATGATATTATTATATTCATATATTATGATTTTTTTAAAGAAAAAAAAGTTGTAAAAGGGTAACGTAATTCACAAATTTCTAATTTAAAAAATTTTAGCATTAACATGTTTCTAAGTTGAATAATATATTTGCATTAATAAAGATTATTTGGAATAATATAGGAATAATACAAATAAAAGTTTAGTTAATTTTCAACACATCGACATTTTTCTTTTTACACAATGCACAAACAATTGAACAACCAATTAGAGAGATGACTGGAAAACAGCAAAACCAATTCCGCATCAATTAAATTTTTGTAATACCAATTGGTCCAAATTATTTAGATACTTGCGCATCTCAATTCTCAAGAAAAA